GAATGAGTCTAACGTGGAAAATTCAAGAGGCAATAACACACATCTCACTATTTTGTCTTTGTTCTATATTTCTACTTTGAAAAACAAAATATAAAATCATAGGAGATAAGAAAGTTTTAAGACAATAATTCATATATGATCTTTTTCTTTGGTTGAAAGTATCTAACTAATATTGATTTATGCATGTACATTCAGCTGATGAGTCCAAAATAGGATGAAACGCGAGTCAAACTGGATCTCACTACTAACCACTATCCATCGTTGCTTATAAAATTTGTGACTTAAGGCAATATCTTGACAGTCCGCACAGAATACATTTATGTCAACAAGAAACTGATCAATTACAGTCCTAAAACAACAACTAAACATTACCATGTAAATTTTATTCTCCAATCCTTCGAAAATGATTTCTAGCTTTTATCACTTATTTACTTACTTACTTACTTACTTACTTACTTAAGCCTGTTACTCCTCATGAAGTAGCATAGGCCGCTCACCAGCATTCTCCATCCAACCCTGTCCAAAGCAATTCTTTCTAGCTATTTTCAGTTGTTATTCATTCTTTTCTTATCTGCTTCTATTTCCCGACGTAATGCGTTCTTTGGCCTTTCTCTTTTCCGCCTTCCTTCAGAATTCCAAGTCAGGACTTGCCTGGTGATGCAGTTTGATGAGTTCCATAATGTATGTTCTATCCATTTCCATCGTCTTTTCCTAATTTCTTCTTCAGCTGGAAGTTGGTTTGTTCTCGCCCACAAAAGGCTGTTGCTGATGGTATCCGGCCAATGGGTGTTGAGTATCTTGCGTAAACAACCATTCATAAATGGTTGTACCTTCTTGATGATGGTTGTTGTAGTTCTCCAAGTTCTAGGTCCGTACTGTAGAACTACCTTGACGTTCGTATTGAAGATTCTCACTTTGATATTATATAAATATATGAATATAAAGATTTCGAAAAACGTTTTCAGATTTCATCTACTTAGAGTTCTCCTATGTATTTAACATAAAGCATTGAATAAAATTATCATCAATATTCCATTGATTCTCTTATATGAACTTCAACCTACTTTGAATTTTCGTTGGATAATATATAGGACTTCCAGGCAAAGATTCTTCTGTTTTATTAAATGTTTCATTCGGTATCTGATAAATCGCAATATATAAACAATGAATTATAAGAAATAAATTAGTAATTGAATATTTTAACATAAATGAATGAATAATGACGTACTAAATTTAGTTTGAACATTTAAAGTAGAAAATAGTACGTTTTACAACAGTGAAATTGGAAATATGTTTAACGTTGACTGTAAAGGACATTTTATTGTCATGTTTAGATTCATGGATCGATTTAAGCTAGACCACCATGGTAAACTTAGAAACATTTATCAGACCATTTTTCCTCAGCAATGCACGTCCACCATCCCGTTCCGTGAGATTCGAACCCATGACCTTTCAGTCTCCTTCGCGCTCACTTAACCTTTATACTATTGAGCCGGTATCCAATGGTGTTAATATCTAACTTGAACCATTCCACGAAATTGCGTCACCGTCCATTATTGTCTACAGTGATATACTATCTCATAACAGACTTGGTTGAACTCCACTAATCATAGCTTCTCATTAAAACTCCGAGAACTCCTTCACGAAGCTAGTCATTAGTGAACACGCGAGATCGAAAACTCTGGGATCGTGGATGCACACTGATGAGAAGTTTCATACTAAGACAAAACAACCATCAAATATTTTCAGGTTTTCAATAATGATCTAACATCAATTAGTTCATGATGTCAATCAAAAAACTTTACTTCATACTCATAAAAATAAAAATTAAAGAAGAAATTATGAATAGAACAAATTTGTATGCCAATTAAGTTAAATTCACCTTAGTTACATAATACAGTATAATTATGACATAATTAATTATTAATAAATTAAAATGAACTTTGTTTTTATGATAAAGAATTTAATCTTTATTAATATAAGCCATAAATTATTATTGTTTATATTATGATTATCATATGATACATGATAAACTTAATTCATTAAATTAGGCTAATTGATTTTAATAAAAAAATTTATTATTGTCATTAAATGATAATTAACTTCTTAATAATAAAAAGGCAAAATAAATAAACATTAATGATATTCATTAAAAGTTTAACAAAACAACCACTGCTGAGGAGAAGTCTCATATTAGAACGAAACGGACAACCAGTGCTTCCAGATTTTCCATGGTGGTCTAGCTGCAATTGACTCATGAATTCAACCGTTAAACTATTATGATATCTATAAAACCTCTATCTGACTACACTATGCTTAGTTGCTCATTTTCCATGTTCTTAATCTCCCTTTCTATATTACATAATCTATCATTTCAATTTTATTCTATTCTCCCTACTAACTTATAACTATATTCATAACAGTTCATCAATAATTATTACAATATTTAATTGTTCCAAACAATGATGGATAATGGTTAGCAGTGGAATCCAGTTTGACTCGCGTTTCGTCCTACTTGGGACTCGTCAACTGGATGTACCTGCACCTCAGAGTTGATGTACACTCTGCAATTCGAACCCAGTATCGTTCACTTCAAACTCCGCTTACTTAGCTACTGAGTTTTGATAGCCACTTGCTTGTGTATTTGGACTGAACTTTTAAATTTCCTTAGTATTGTTTACTTGAATCTTTACATTGTTATTTAGGACTGTTTTTGATCAGTTTTTCGTTGGCATATGTGCATTCTGTGCGGACTGCCTCGATATTACCTTAAGTCACAATCATTATAAGCAAAGATAGATGGTGGCTAGCAGTGGAAGAGTCAAGTTAACAATATCAAATGAAGTTAATATTATTGAACGTTTAGCAGAGGTATTTCCAGGAGTTCTAGTGAGAAGCTGTGATCAGTGGAGGTCAACGAGCTGTGTTGTGAAATAGTGACTCACTGAAGACAAAGATGGACAGTGGTTCAACTTCGTGGATTGCTTGAAGTTAGACATTAACACTGTTGAATGCTGACCCACTGTTCTAGAGTTTAAACTTTCACGCGCGAGATCGATAGGTCTTGAGTTCGAATCCTGCGAGCGGGAACGTGAAAGTTCACTGCTGAGAATTTCCACACTAAGACCCAACGGTCGTTCAGTACTTCCAGGTTTTCCATAAATTCAACTATTGAATTACTAAAATCCCTATTCTGATAACTCTCTGTTACACATCAATGTTAATGTCAAGCTTAAATTTTTCAGAAAATTATGGTAAATGATTCTAATTTTCTTATTCAAGGAAATAGAATATTTCAATAATTAGTCAACTTACTGTTTCAAAGAAAATTGTTATGTTCCCATTAACATGTATTGTGCATGTTATTTGTGCTGAAAATTATTTTTTAAAAAAATTGATATAATACTACTCATAACTCTGCTTTGCTTTGTGCACCCGGGCAGTATCACAGCTCTCACACAAATCAAATGAGATTTGTGTGATGCCTATGTATCCAATGCCCCCTTATACCAATATCTATGTGTTAAAATAAATTAATAAATAACTACTAATAACTGTTATATCCCAACAAACATTAAATTATGGGTTGTTTTTGGAACTGTTTATGGATTGTTATCATACATGTATATTTTTATTGTCAGTCAGTCAGTCAGTCAGTAACAACGTAGAACTTCGTACGTACGTACATCAGTTCGAGTTGCCACATCACATTAGCACAGAGATGCAGTTGTCAATTCAAATCTCGTAGTGCTAGAGGTAGTAAAAGTATAAGGAGTAATCGGAAACAATAGGACTTGAAGATGTTATTCAAGAAGTATAATACAGTGAAATAAATTCATATTTCATAACTGTTCAGTAACTAGATTATATAGATATATTCATATTCCTTTTATGATAAGCTTCCATTTGACCTATTGACTATTATTATACAATTTACTATTCTTTAGTTATTTCCAATTTATTAGTTATAATATCTCACATACATTGTCACTTTTTGTCTTCATCGTAGAGTATGATATATACAGGTTTGTTTGTCTATCATCGAAGTATATCTAAATTATATAATTCATATAATAGTAGGTGATAATCAATGTTTTCGATTCAACAGGTAGAGCATGATTAAGAGCATAACCTATAAAGACTTTTAGGCTTCTTATATTAGTTAATAAATCATTGATTTGGCACAGTGTTAACATTTTTATTAGTTCTGTTCTCATTATCATGTGATAATTATTAGGTTATATGTTATATTAATAATAGAAAGTCATCTGTTTATGATATAGTTGATATCTCCTTTTTGTCAATTCATTATTTTCATGAATATTCTATTTGAATCTTTCAAGTCATATTCATAATAATACAGAATTCCAAGTATTGAAATCAATATGATACATATTTAGCCTATAACTGAAGTAAATATAATAGAAATATATTTTTTTAGAATATTTTAGTAAACTATTTTGGCAATATGATTATCGGTCACATATAGATTAGTAACCAAATTATATAACTGATTGATAGAATTCAATCGACAATACGGACTAGACAAAAATGTGACTTAAAGTATTACGCAAATAGTCATTATTCAGTATAAAATATTTCAGTTATATAAAAGGTTTATTTAATATAGAAAAATATATCAGAAAGGGTATTGTAAAGATTGTAGTAATTCCAACAGTTGAGATTATGAGTCAGTTGAAGCTAGATCACCATGGAAAACCTGGAAGTACTGGACGGCCATTTCGTCCTATTTTGGGACTCCTCGGCAGCACGCATCCACGACCCCGCCTCGCCAGATTCGAACACAGGACCTATCAGTCTCGCGCTAGGCGCTTAACCAACTACACCACTGAGCTGGTAACCATCCAATGGTTTTAATGTCTAACTTCAACTTATCCACGAAAATGAGCGACACATCCACCGTTAACATCAGTGAGTTACTAACTCACAACTGACCCGATTGAAATATATGTATATATATATAAGTGTATCCAAGATTATTACATACCATGTTCTTCCATTTCTTTTCCATGTGAATTGTAAATGTGAAGATTAGGCCATCTTACTGTTAGAAGCTTATCTATAAATACAATAAAATTGAATCGGATTATTAGTAATTCATTGAATAAAAAAATTAATATCAGAAGGGTTTTTGTGGATATTATAGTAATTTTAATAGTTGAGATCATGAGTCAATAGTTATGAGATAGTAACCAACTGAAAACAATAATGGATGTGTCGCTCAATTTCGTGGATTGGTTGAACTTAGACATGAACACTGTTGAATGCTGGCTTAGTGGTCTAATAGTTAAGCGTTCACGCCTGCGCTTGATATTTCCTAAGTTCGAACCTCATGAGGCGGGATCGTGGATGTGCACTGTTGAAAAGTCCCATACTAAGACGAAACGGTTATTCAGTGCTTCTAGTCTTTTCATGGTAGTCTACCTTCAATTAACTCATGATCTCAACTATTAAAAAAATTAACTTTACAACTTTATTGATAAATTTAATCGTTTCTAATTATTTACTATGGATATGAATGTTCGACACCAAAGAAAATGTACATTTTACCCTAATTACGTAGAATAATATAAAGCTTTCTTTTAAACATAAATTATATCTGATAACTTCTGTCTTCTTCCATTAAACTGTGAGATTAAAATCGCCTTATAACTTTCTTTCTACGAACTAATTCTTTCTTCTTGTACTATATCCTTATCGCAATCTTTCTTTTATATATTACCACCTCTGAATTAACTACTTTTATGAATCCGATGTTCATCTTGTTGTGTTAATGAGGTATGGTAACTTTGACCGATCCATATATGTGCCTGAGGCTACGTTGTAGCTGACTGATTGACTGACTGATATCCAATGACTTAAGTTATTCTAAATGAATTAAACTTTCAATATTAGAATAGCTCACCATTATGAATAATATCCACTTGACCCGTTTTCCAAACTCCATAAAATACTTTAATGCTTCCAGATAATTTCCCCAAATTTGACTCAATAATATTTATAATACCTTGAATTAATGTAAAAAAATAAATAAATAATTCCTAATATTTATTAAATGTGTTGTATGTAGCTAATCCGTGTCGGATAGAGACAGGTATCTACCTCAATAAAATCGAAGATGGTGGCGTAATATTGTGAATTGGTTGACGTTAGACATTAACACCATTAGATGCTGGTTTAGTGGTGTAGTTGTTAAGCTCTGGTGCGCGAGTCTGAAAACTCTAGTGGCTCGAATTCCACGAGCGGGATTGTGGATGTGCACTGCTGAGAAGTCCCACAATAGAACAAAACGACCGTCAAACACTTCCAAGTTTTCAATGGTGGTTTAACAAATATGTTGTATGTGTTGGAAATAGTTCAGTGGAAACTATCATAATGATTCGTAAATTTAATGAAGCACAAGAATTTAAGACTGACTCTATTGATTAAGAATAGACTGATAGTTTAATGATTCAGTTCTTCAGTTTATACAACTTTTTTCAGTCTAGTTCAATCGCTTAGTCATAAAGGTCAATAAGAATCAAGTAATTTATCTAAATTTACTATAGTCATAACCCGATGGAGTTGGATCACCATCGTTAACCTGTAAGCACTGGATGGACATTTTATCTTAATATGGGACTCCGCAGCGCATTCAAACAGTTACTTACTGATAACAATGGAAGATGGTTGTTCAAAGTCATGTACTGATTCGAGCTAAACATTAACACTGTTGGATTTCGGTTCACTAGTTTAAATTTAAACTTCTCACGTTCCAAAATAGAGGTCCTGAGTTTAATTCCTGTATGTGTGATCGTAAGTGCTCACTGTTTTAAAGTCTCATCCTAGGATGAAACAGTCATTCAATGCTTCCATGTTTTCAGTGTTAGTGTAATAATGAACTGAAAATGATTCAACTTTCTAAGAGTTATATTAGTTTTATGTAGTAATAAAAAACCATTCATTTTAAAATTTACACCATCTACATTCACTTCGTAATGTTTTACTTGAATCTTACCATTTAGGTTTAAGGCTGCAGTTGATCAGTCTGTTATTGACATACGTGCATACTGTGCGTATGCCTCGATATTGCCTTAATTCCCAAGCTTTATAAGCAAAGATGGATAGTGATTGACATGTAGGTACATCCAGCCGACGAGTCTCAAATAGGACGAAAGACGTGTCCTGTATTCCACTGTTAGCCACTATCCATCTTTGCTTACACCAACTACGCTTGGAAACTTGCTGCGAATAAATTCAATAGTTTAGTTTAACACTAGCACAACTGTTTTTTTTCGTTTTTTCTTGGAGTTAACTAAAACTATTTTTAAAACAATTAGTCCCTTTGATAAATTTCGATAATGCAATGAGAAGACGTAGTTTATTTTCACTATGAAATACTATGATAATAATGCAAAATAATAATAATAGAGGTATTTCTCTAACTTTATAAGTTGACAAGTCACCTGGTGACACGTTTTATTAATTAAGCAAATTTCATTTGGTTAGATCCGTTTGAATGTTTAAGACATTTTAATTTATAAAACTTTTCATTGAATATTTAAAAAGAATTATTTGTAAGTAGTAATTAACAATGAAGAATAAGTTAATATAACTCCTTCTATAGCTCTTCTAAAGTTACTGCCAGTCTTAAACCAAAGTAAAGGAGGAGGGTTGTGTATGAGAGTCGGTAACCCCATATCATAAAAGAATGATGGATGGGAGATTTGTAACTCAAGTGGATGATTTTGATAGAGTTTTGTTCTATGAGCTGGATGGAACGATGAAAGCTCCACGACCAAACCATCCAGCTCAGAGAACAAAACTCTATCAAAACTGTAGAAGAATTTTATGATTCGCAGTACATATATATATAAGTACTTATCTGGTTGTTAGATCTAAGCTGTTCATCATATCAAATATTCAGTTATTCTCAGATAGTTATGTGATAATTTATATTATAAAAGAACTTTTGTTTAAGGAGGTTTTACAAATTGTTATTACAATAAATAAATTTAAACGAATATGATCTATTCTCTGTATAAAAGAATTACTAGGGGAATACAAAGCTCATATAGAAAAAAAGAAATAAAGTATAGCCTTATGCATTGAGACCGTATTCAGTATCACATATAATTACATAGTGTTTATACACATTACAACAATCAAGTCTGATCACCAAAACTTAAAACTCTTGATGTATAATTAGCTCATCAACTGAGTAGCGATAATAATAAAACGAATTATATCTAATTCAATTGTTGAATTCATGAGTCAACTGAAGTTAGATCGCCATGAAAAACCTGGAAGCAGTGAGCCGCCATTTCATCACAGTATGAGACTCTTCAGCATTCCACAACCACTAATCCAACCCGCGAGCTTCGAACCCAATAGCTATCAGTCAATAAAAAGTGACTACATTAGGAATACAATTTCAAGCCTACAAGAGCATTTTTTCCATTTAACAACAGAATATTGTCATCATTCCCCAAAAGAGATTACATAATCCACTGACTAATAAGTACAATCTCAATTTAAAATATATTATAATTTCAATCGTTGAAACCATGTGCCAATTGATGCTAGGCCACCATGGAAAACCTGGAAGCACTGGGTTACCGTTTCGTCCTAGTATAGGGCTCCTCAATAGTGTACATCCGCGACCACACTTCACGAGAGTCGAACCCAGTACCTAACAGTTTCGCGTGTGAACGCTTAACCATTAGACTACTGGGCCAGCTGGCATTCAACAGCGTTAATGTCTTACTTTAATCAATCCACAAAATTGCGTCACCGTATGATTTCATAATAAGAAAAAAAATATAATTCAAACTCTTTACATACTATAAAATGAATATTTTCTCTGTAATACAGTCTTAATGCATAAATAGAAAAGAGATAGATATTCATTACATGTAATAAAATTCAATTTATAAAATCCATTTCATTAAGTAAACATGAAATAAATTTAATGAATAAACAATTAAACAATGATAATGAAACAAAACATATACCCCACCCCATCCCATCCCATCCCACCTCAACCACTCACCCCCCCCCCAAAAAAAGAACAAAACAATAACTGATGTTACTAACCGTTTGATAAGATTTTAACTGTTTTATAATATTCACCATAAAATTTAATTGGAAATATTGTATCTAAATGCTGTATTGAATTAATCCCTATATAAAGTACAATTTACCAATGGTCTATCTGATATTAATAGAATTTTTTCACTATTCATCAATTGAATTGAATTAGATTGATTGAATTTTATCTGTTGTAGATAATTAGAATGTTTTAACTAAAAAAAAAATTTTATTTTATAGGAAACAAATTATCGATTATTTATTGATTATTCATTACTTGATTAAAGGAATCATTTTCAAAGGTATAATTAATTGATAACCCAGTAACTAATTGATTTATTGAAAAGTTTATTATTAATGATACTAATAATAATAATCTAATGAAATAAGATCAAATAATGAAATATGATTGCAGATGAATGATGATAGATCTATAAGACAATATAAACAAATATCAATTTAATTATAATCAGAGAAGGATTTTTGAGGATAATATAGGAATTTATTAGATGAATTCATGAGTTAAATGAAGCTAGATCACTTTGGAAAGCGTGGAAACACTAGAAGACTGTTTCGTCCTAGTATAGAACTCCTCAATAGTACATATCCAAGACCTCGCCTCACGAGATTCCAATCCAGGACATATCGGTCTCGAGCGTGAACGCTTAACTATTAGACCACTGAGCTAGCATTCAACAGTGTTAATGTCTAAGTTCAACCAATCCACGAAATTGAGTGACACACCAACTATTGTCTTCAATGAGTTACTATCTCACAACAGAACTGGTTGAATTCCATTGATCACGGCTTCTCACTACAACTTCTGGAAATACGTTGTGGATACCGTCACTAGTGAGCATATGATGATTATAAAGAGAGACGGTTAGATATTAACACCGTTGGAAGCCGGCTCTATATGCTAGTGGTTGAGCGCTCGCGGACGAGACCGACAGGTCCTGGATTCAAATCTTGCGAGTCGGGATTGTGAATGCGCACTGTTGAGGTGTCTCCTACTAGAACGAAATGGCCACCCAGTGTTTCCAGCTTTGTCATCATTGTACAATTTCAATTGACTTATGAATTCAACTATTAAATGAATAAATTTATTTTGATTAAAATATACTACTTACTTAACATTCAATTTATTTGTCATGATTATAAGAGTAAAAGAAAATAAATGCTATTTAGTATAATAATAATAATAATTGAATATTATAATTTATATATGAACATTGTGTTTTGTTTGGATCATTTAAATCACCAATTAGAATAAAGTATATTTAATAGACTTGTCTAACAAGATGGTATCTCTAATAGCATTTGTTAATTTTTATTATAAATTATTATCAATCGTAATATTAATTGAACCATCTATAAATGATCTCGATCGAAATGGATCCATCAAATCATTGAGGTATCAATGATACATTTGATACAATATACATTAAATATACATATCAGTATTCACCTAATAAGTTATCTATGATGATTTGAATTAGATTTAACAATTAAATATGATAAAAGTATACTACTACTACTACTACTACTACTACTACTACTACTACTACTACTACTACTACTACTACTTCTACTACTACTACTACTACTACTACTACTACTACTACTACTACTACTACTACTACTACTACTACTACTACTACTACTACTACTACTACTACTACTACTACTACTACTACTACTACTACTACTACTACTACTACTACTACTACTACTACTACTACTACTACTACTACTACTACTACTACTACTACTACTACTACTACTACTACTACTACTACTACTACTACTACTACTACTACTACTACTACTACTACTACTACTACTACTACTACTACTACTACTACTACTACTACTACTACTACTACTACTACTACTACTACTACTACTACTACTACTACTACTACTACTACTACTACTACTACTACTACTACTACTACTACTACTACTACTAAAACTACTACTACTACTACTAAAACTACTACTACTACTACTAAAACTACTACTACAACTACTACTACTACTACAACTACTACTACTACTAAAACTACTACTACTACTACTACACATTTTCTAAGAAATATAGCTATGATATTTTTAGTAAAATGAAAATAAAACTTAACAATCTCTATCAACTTCCTGGAGTTGTTGCTCCACATCGATTTATATTCAAAGCACATTGATCAGTAATATAGTCCTTCAAATCGAATTCGAAAAAGAAACTTTAAAAGAATTCAAGAAAATAAATTATTTGCAAACTATCATACTACTTATTATCTATTTGAAAATGATTTATATTGGAAACTAATTTCAGCTGACTAATTGATGAACAGTATGATAATATGATCGAAGTTTATTCAAGTTATAAATGTATTACACTGGATAACAATTCAATGATCTAAAGTGAATAACATATTTGTTGGGTAATCTAAAATGACGAGGTTATGAGTTTGTGTTGTTGAAGATTTCATTCACAGACGAAACGGAATTTCGTTATTTATTACTTTGTAATCTATGAGAAAAAAGAACTATCTTAAAACTGTGCAGTTTCTGTGAGCTTTTCCATTCAACTGTGACATATACTAGTATGGTGTATACTGCTTATGCTGATAGATATAAGTAGTATGTAGCATTAATAGGAAGTAGAATGTCTGTCAGCTGAAGATTGAGATAAAGGAAGGAGAAAAAACAACAGAGAGGATTTGCAATAAAACCTGAATTGGAAGAATGAAAATGTATGTACAGGATAACTGAAGGAAGATGTGCAAACAATGTACTTAATATATGACTTTCGTATCTTGCGAAAGCTCATGGTCGATAGCATTCGCTCTGCACTAAATAAGCACTTCACACACATGACATTGATCATCACCTAGTGATCAGTCAATTGTGATTACGAAAGCACTATATAGTTCTGCACTAATCAGTAAATTAAATTACTCAAACTGAGTTCTCTTTCACTACACTAGTACATTACTAAGAAAGTCAGATAGTTTAAGGCAGTCATGTTCAGTTAGCCACATTTCATAACAAATTCGATACCATAATAAAATTCAACTCCAGTGCCTTTGATAAATTTCGATAATGCAATACATTTCGAACAATCTGATCACACCAGGCTTCAATAAACCTTAGTATACGTCCTTGAAGGCTTTTGGATAACACAACAAAATGCTGACTTGATGTCAACCTTATGACTAGTCTCAATCAAATGTTTCGCAATGGCGGATGATGTCTGTCTATCCTGTGATCTTATTTTACCATTGGAATCCATTTGTTTCTGCAACCATTTTGGCATGTGTTCCCATATAAATGTTCTTAACAAGTATATTAGATGTGATCAGATTGTTCTCAATGTATTGCATAAATATATCATATAATTCTGATTAACTTCGACCAGCCTGTATGTTTAAAAAAACTATTTAGTTAAAACAAATCGACCATAATAATACCCAGCTACTTTTAATATTTAGAGTGGTATATTTCCTATCGTTGTTCTATCGTGTTGTCTTTGTATGTTCCATTTTGTCTAGTTTAACCTTTAATTTTCTTATATAAATATCACAAAACGTAAATGTATGATTTAGTCAGTCAGTCAGTCAGTCAGTTAGTAACAACGCAGAACTTCGTACGTACGTATGTACATCGGTTCAAGATGCCATACCACATTAGCACATTGATACAATTGTGCATTCAAATACCATAGTGGTTGAGAAAGTAACAGTATAAGCAGTCATCGTAAACACTGGAGTTCGAACATGTTATTCAAAGAGTATAATCCTGTGAAATACATTTGGAAAGAGAAAAAAAGAAAACACCTACCAACATGGCTCACTCAGTTCACTTGTCAGTGACTTCATGGATTTGTGCCAGTCTTTTGGTCTGACGCATCTAGCTTTCTTCCAACCTACTCCCACACCATAAAACATCGCTCGTCTGAGTAGTGTGTGGTTGGTCATACGTAATTCATGTTCCAGCCATCTCAAATGATGAAGTTCCACTAGTTCATTAATTGATTTACCTAGTACCCGTTTCCTAACAACTGCATTACTTACTCGGTGGTCTCAGGATATACCAGTAATGATTCGAAGACACCTATGATCAAATATTAGTAACCTACGAATATCCTCTACTCTTACCGGTCATACTTCACAGCCATTGCCATCAAGGCATACGACAATCTAAATACCCTTATAACATCGAATTTACATTTTGACTTTGTTTATTCACAATAATTATTTATTTATTTATTTATTCATTTCGTATATTTCAAACTTCAAAAAACAAAAGTTTATCTTTTTAGATGGAGTTATGTTCTCTGAGCTGGATGGTTTTGGTTCTATCTGAAGTTTGTACTGATGATATCATTCATAAGAATGATGAAAGCTCCACGACCAAACTATCCAGCTCAAAAAACAAAACTCCATCAAAAATCATTCACCTGAGCTACAAATCTTCTTCAACATTTGAGTTTATCTTCTGATTCAATCAAACTTGATTGTACACCATATATATATAACATACATGTGATCTAAAACAAATTCCTTCTATTATAAAACTCATGTTATATCCATCAGTATTATATACATACATGATTAGATTTGCTTTGAAAATGATTCTTCTCTATATAGATTAACTTCTCTAGGCTCAGTTAACTAAGCTTCATCAAAATATACACTATTTGAATGCAGTTTTATTTCCTATGAATCTAGGCTTAGTCGATATTATAACGGATAGATGGATAAATAAGTGGATAGTTAGATAGTTAGACATAAACAATACAGGGTTACCGACAATTATGGATCATCCAATATGGATTGAAATTGATATTGGCATCGAAATGATGAAATTGATTAGTAAAAATAAAATTACTTTCAATAGTAATAAAAGACTAAATATAAGAATGATAAAACAATCTGACAAAATGAAGAGGGCCAGGTCGTGGATGCACACTGCTAAGGAGTTCCAAAATAGGACAAAACGGCAGTTCAGTGCTTCCAAGTTTTTCATGGTGGTCTAGCTTCAACTGACTCATGATCTTAACCGTTGAAAATGAAGGAAACTAAATTATCTGACATAAGTATAATACACTATGAGTTACGTTCAATCTATAATGACCAATTTTTCGAACCAGAAGTCTATAATCATTATGTGAAGTTATTATGGATTTATCAATTACATCATACTCGGTTGTTTAAAACTTGGATTTAAATATTGACTTTTCAGTTTTTACTTTATATAAAGCGATAGAGTCGTCGTCAGTCAGTCAGCTACAATGTAGGATCAGGCATATATATATGCATCGGTACAAGTCGCTACACATTATTGGCACAACAAGAAGAACACCACATTCATAGAAGTAGTAAATTCAATGGTGCTGATATATAAAAGGAAGATTGCATATAAGGATATAGTGCAGGAAGAAAGATTTAGTACGTAGAAAGAAAGATATGAAGCGATTTTAATCGCACGGTCTAAAGGAAAACAAGGAGTATATACATCTACACTATTGTGATCGAGTGTCAGCCATGTCACCCACAGTCTCCAACTATTGGTTACGATAGTCACGTGGATCTCAACCAAGTAGTCTGCATCTACCAACATGGCCAACATGACCAGACGTTAGTGACTTCATAGACTGATGTCATGTTTTGGTTTGGCTGCCCCTCACATTCATCCAACCGTCTTCAACACTATTCAGCATTGTGCATCGTGATAATCGTTGTTCAGACATAAGTAACACGTGGCCCAAACATCTCGGTCGATACAAACACACAACCTCATATATTTACCAATTATTTCTTTATTTGAACACGTTAATATCGATACAATGGGGTACCGAATACATATGCGCTACACAAGTCACTTGGTTTGTGTGTAAGCTGTGATGCTGTCCGGGTGCCCAGACAGAAGAAGATGGTTTTCTTAGGTGACCACAACCCAGGTCTTCGACATATAGGTCTGATCCACAAGGCAGTGGAACAACGTCAGGAGATACGATCCCATGGTTGCCATTGATCAACGATTGGTTCATACGCCATTTGTTCCTTCACGATCCTGGGGTGCATGTGCACCATTGATTTGGAATTAGGGTTTTCCGACTCACCCAGGTGAACTCTCTGTGCCCACCAATCAAGTTCAAGTGCCGTACATTTGCTTTTCGTCCTGTCAATTTGATGAACAACAGTAGTGCCACGAGAAGGTAATGAGAAGGACTTCCGTGGTAGTGGTTTTATGTACGTAACCATGTAAGACCATTTCGAGATGGAGAGTTGACACTCCGCACTCTTGACCGTATCAGGGCATTTAGAGGCACCATCGGTCTTGTTCTCATGACATCTCTTTTCATTGCAAAATGTATTTGATGCTTATTTTAGTCCCTTCTTTGAGGACATATGAAAAGGAATATACACGAACTGTCCTAGTGATGTTTCCACAACTTTTCACTAATCAAATTCGAGGTTGGTTGTTAACATTTTAATAAAGCGCCTAAGAACATGAGATTAGTGGACATAATCAGTGAATTACAACAAACCGAAATTATGAAATGAATCATCGAAATAAACGGACCTTTGATGTTTCAGGTGTTTAACTTTGGTTTAGGTGTTATGGAAAATATAAAATAATGCTTGATAATAAACAGATTTAATTTTATGATTGATTATATAGTAAGTTGGTTAGGATTTAGATTCATTAAGATGGTTCTAAGATGATGAGGAAACTGCCATCAGTCGGATTATGCGAACATATGACTATTACTCTTACATGTCTAGTAATCGCATCAATTAAGATCAATCTAAATAGCTTTGTTCCAATTTTCTGTAGTCTTTATGTCCAACCAATTGAGCGAAATTTTAGCTAATCTATTCCAGTAGAACCTAATTATTTGTATCTAATGTTTTCTATAACAATCGTTGTCTGTTCTTGTTTGCTTCTCTTCGATTTTCTCAACCATCTGATGCTAGGCTTTCCACTTTCAATTGGTGTTAAATACTACTTATATCTGTTGACAGCAGTAGCACACATCACAGTAGTAGAATGCTTAGTTACTTCATAGTATGTGACTTTAATGTTACCATTATCGTAATCATTCAATTATTTTAAGATAT